AATTCAGTTGAGTTTGACACTTTTCAAGATTTTACCAGAAAAAATTCTTCTGACTAAATCTGACTACTTCGGACTAATGAGAGTCACTCTCACTGATTGTTGCTCTCTCATTTTTGCTGTCATTTTCGAGTTAAGAAACGCTTTTTGGACTAAATCTGACCACTTCGGACTTTTTCTGACTATTTCTGGGAGATAAGGAACGCTCCTAATAACCAGGGTTCGTATTTGCACACACATGCTCTGCTCACACACACGCCAGAAACACATTCAACTTGCACTCACTGCTCATACACATGTGTGTGCATAAGTGTAAAACAAACTCTACTCACAGAAAAGTGTGTGCTGTTTGTTATTAAGCACATGCACATGTGTGTGAGCCGATTTTTGTACAAATTTCAGCCCATGCACATGCACATAATATATTCTTAAAAGAATTTGTTTATTAAACGTTATTTTTTGAAAGACAATTCAATAAAAAGTGAGATGTTGTTTGTTTTTTATATGACAGAAAACATATTAAAAAATTATTTTAAGATTTGAGTTAGAATTCGAAGTGTATAAGTTTCTCTACGCATAGCACACACATGTGCGTGTGCTTTACATTAATAAAAAGAAAGTACACACATGTGCCCGTGCTGTTTACCAAACGGCACACACATGTGATGTGAGCAAATTTTTAATTTTTTATATGCACAGCACACGTGTGTGAGCTTAAAATGTTAGGATGTGCTGCACATGTGTGTGCAAATACGAACCCTGCTAATAACTAACCACCGCATGACCGTGACGTAGAGGTTGCCTCTCTCTTTCTATCAACAGCAAACTTGATAAGTTTCTACGTACTTCTACGCTACGCTACTATACATATGTATGCATATCAGTGTCGGCCACGATCCAGAGAATTCTATCATTCTTGATATCACATTTTGAGCATGTGTTGAAAGCACAAAAGCTCATCGATACACCCAAAAAAATCTGCAAACGTAACACAAAGGTTTGTTTTTGCTAAGAAGAACGTTAGTAAAGTTTAAAGCATTGTTCCGTTAATATGTACTAAAGTCCCCTTTCAGACACGTCAAGTCTTGCTTTCATGTCTGCTCGTTCGTAGGCGAAGGAGATGAGAAGAGAGGGGAAGAGTACAGATACCTCCGTACCGTCAATTCGTTTCAAGTTTTCTTGTCTCTTTTGATCTTTTCGTTGCTTCCCATTTAAAGAACCAAGGACTTGAATTCAATTAAAGTTGACGCGTGTGGAAGCAAATAGAAAACACAAAAGAGAATGCGAAAAAAATTGCTTTCAAGACTTGACGTGTTTGAAAGGGGACTAAGTAAAACAAAATGCATATACATTCATATATATGTGCGTGCAAACGGTCGCACAGTTTGCTTTGCTTAAACTAAACAAAAAAAAAACCCCTACACGCATACATCACACAACCACGGTTGCCGTTTTGGTCCAAATGGACCAAATTTGGTCCATTCCTTTTCGTTTGGCCCATTGGTCCAATTCTTTTTAAAATGGTCCATTTCACAAGCCTATGGTTAGGTTATTATCACCCTTTCTTCAATTTTACAACGCTTTTATCAACTTGCAATGTTGTGTTCCAGAAACTTTCAATGTTGTGTGTCCGACACCATAAAGCAAAGCTTTGAAAAGCTCCTATAAAAAAGCATAGTGAATAGGGGGAGGTAGATGACATCTAGATGTCGCCCTATGTACTACGTTTGCTACACCGGAAATAGACGACACGCCATTTCTTTAAATAAAATTAATTGGTGCTCGTTTGTATGTACATACATATGTAAATGCATGTGTGTGCACCTTTCTATTAATATCGTTGAATTATTTTAATATCTATTGCAAACTTTTATTCAGACAGGACTAAAAAGTAGAAAATAAATAATATAAAAAAAAACTTTTTAATATACAACGCTTTTATAAATGGACTAAAAAGTAGAAAATAATATTTCTCAGTCCCATAGAATTTGTTTTGATAACTTTTGATTTTGAAATTTTACCAAAAGTCATTATAAACAATCTATGAAATTGAAAATGAAAAGCGTGGGGCGCATGTATTACACTTGAATTGATATGAAAAGTAATATATGTATGTATGTATGTGGGTATATGAATAACGACCGCTTAAAATCGATTTCAAAGTTCTACTTTCGCTGTAGAAATTTTAGGTCTACGTTATGTAGTTTGACTATTGTCAACTAAATCGAATGCTTTGTATTGCATGCGCTCCACGTTTTTCATTTTCAATTTCATAGATTGTTTATAATGACTTTTGCTAAAATTTCAAAATCAAAAGTTATCAAAACAAATTCTATGGGACTGAGAAGTATTATTTTCTACTTTTTAGTCCATTTATAAAAGCGTTGTATATTAAAAAGTTTTTTTTGTATCATTTATTTTCTATTTAATTGATGAATATTCCGCCCTATCGTCATCGTCAGTAAAAGTGACGATACGGCCATCGTCAGCCATGTTACAATAGGGTTGCCAACCGTACTATAATCTATAGTATTGTACTATTTGTTCGGTCTGCGTACTATATACTGTTGAAAAAAATATATTACGCAAAAATACTATATTTCTACAATTATAAAAATAAATATATGTCATTAATTTGTAAGATAATATGTGAATTAAAATGGATGATCTTTATACTGAAATACCAATATTAAAAGAAATATTCTTCAAAATGAACATTTTTTTAAAATACTGATAATGAATTACCAAATTTACTTAAAACTATTTCATTTCTACTCTCTATTCTTGCTACTTCGGCATTCACTGGAAGAGTTTTTTCTGTTATGGATGTGAAATGGCGAGATGAGAGAAACAAAGCGATTACTTCACTAACAAAAAATTAACTTTTGATTTATATTAATTTATATATTGATTGTGATAAAGCATATAACACTTTCGTGGTTAACAAGGAATTGTGAAAAACTACCAAAAGTGCAAAGAAATATATTGAGAAAAAGATGTTTACTTACTTTGTTCTTTTAAATAAAATACTATATATATTGTAAGTGTACTATATTTTTTCAGTTTTTTTTTTTTGAAAAAGTACTATAAATATCTTACCAAATGTTGGCAACCCTAGCCATGTTACTGATGCACTGACGATCGTCGACGATGACGATGACGATATTCAGCATAGGGCCGATTGGCAACACCTGCTAAAAGTGTGAACTCGCCTTGCCACTGATTTTCAAATATGGCATGGCTAATCATCTGTCAAAGCACGCTTCAAAACATATCGCGGTTTCTTGCTAATTTGAATTATCGAAAGGTAGCAATACTTTAATCATAGCATTTAGCATATGAAAGTAATATTCGATTTCAATCGAAAAGATATTAAACATATTGAAATTATTACACCACATAAGGTTCTTTCTGATACTGATGTATCGGACGGAAGTGATTTACGTCTTCTCATAATAATTATATGGGATTTTTATATTTTTTTTCATCTCGCGGGTCGTTTATTTCAAGACGGAAATGATTTACGTCTTCTCAAATTAATTAAGTGGGACTTTTATTTTTTTTATCTCGCCGGACGTTTATTTTAAGACGAAAATGATAACAATTATCGTTCGTTAAATATAAAAAGCAGAAGTAAAAAAAATAATTTTTCCTGTGTTATTCTTATGGGAAATCGAAAAGTGCGATGTGGACATTCTTAATATTAATATTAGGGACTCATATTTTCCGAGACTTATTTTGGTGTCTAAACGAAACTTTTGAGCATGGTTCCGAGGAAAAAGAAAGAAAATTTTTTTTCTGAATCATCCTATTACTTAAGTGCAATAGATAAAGAGGATGGAAGCAACGAATAAAAATTGTTGCATTTTGGTTGTTGTAGATGCCTTTTCTAAATTTACTTGGTTGTATCCTACAAGGAATTGCGCTGCGAAGGGAGTGGTGGGAAAATTAGAAAAGCAAGCTATAGTTTTTGGATAATTACAGATCGTGGTACAGCTTTTACTTTTGGTGAGTAGAGTAAGAAAGGTAATATACAACATTTATTGATTACGACTGGTGTTCCTAGGGGGATGGACAGAGTTCATCGTATAATTGTACCAATGCTTGCTAAGCTTAGTCATGAGAATCCTGAAAATTGGTATAAGTATATCGATAAGTTGTAAAAAACGCTGAATTCAACACCTTCGCGATGTACGAAGGTAGCTCCATTTACTTTACTTACTGGATCTGAGATGAGGACGGAAAAATTATCAGGTATTCGTTAGTTGATTGAAAAAGAAGATTTGGAAGAATTTATGTTTGAAAGATAGAGGTTCGTAAAGAAGCGTGCATGTATATTTAAAAAACAAGAAACATTTTAATATAAACAAGAAGGGGGAAAATAGTTACAAGGAAAATGACTTAGTAGATATTTTGCGTACCCAATATGGTACAAAAATGAAACTAAGACCAAAATATTTGGAACCGTGTAAAGTAACTAACTGTTTAAGGCATGGGAGGTATGAAGTAGAGAAAGTTGGGGACCATGATATGCCAAGGAAAACAAGTACTGTGGACTTCATCAGTCGAGGTCGAATGATGTGTAGTATGGCCGAATGTAGGAGCTAAATTGTTAAGAAAATATTTTATAGTTGAAAATCAAGGCGAATTTATATGAGGTGGTGTTGTTTCATCAGCTGTGAGTGGTGTTTGATTGTCAAAATTTTGTATTTTGCTAGTGAGTGAGTGAAAACGTGAGAATGTTTCCATTTTCTGTCGCCCGTTTATTTCGGGGAAGAATAGCTGAAATTTGACAAGTGGGAATACAAGTAACTGTTGTATTTGTTGAATCGATACCACCTTATATGAATTCGCCTTGGTTGAAAATCGTTTTCAGTTCAACAAATGGAACCGACTGAAATAGTATCATTTAAAATATTAGATTAATATAATATACAGGCATTCTAATTTTCTCTTGTTTAATATACTGTGAATTAATATCCTGTAAATTATTAATCTACAAATAAAATAAAATATGTTTACTTCCATTTAAATTGTGAGCATTTAAATTTTAATTTTACATACATACGTATGCACAATGCAATTGTTTGTTGGAAAAACGTTATAATCATATCCGTGACCGCGACAGGTCCAGAAAAAGTAGTAAAATGCTTTACCTTTATTATAATGGCATGTACTTGGCAATCAATCATTTCCTGCAGCAACTCAGTTTGGTCTCTTCTCCATAGATACGCCAGCGAGACCAAACTTAGACGACTACATACATTTTCAACACGTACTCTCTGGTAATCGGAGAGAATGGCGCCTACAGCAACAGCCTCAACTTGTAATTCATTCTTAAATGAAATAAATAAAATTAGATAAGAACAATATTATTAATATTATAAATATACTAAACAGCTAAATATGAATATATGTAAATAGCGACAGTGCATTTCACACATGAGAAAATCGATTTATGCGCGATACTACAGCGTTTTCAGTTAAATCTCTCAAAGTATAAAACCACTTGCACATGCACTTAACATGGAAATAACAAAAAAAGGAGCGATATTTTGAAATATCTCGAAAATCGTTTCATTTTCACAATGTCAGACCATCAAATTTGGATTCCGGAAAATTATACAAAAGATTGATGTATCGTGGTTATGAGAATTTTCGAAAATTTTTAAGAAAATAAAATAGAAAACTTAGTCCAATTTTGGCTATACAAAAACCACTTGCACATGTGCTAGAGAAAAAAGAGGAACAGTCCAGCGCCTTCGTCTTGGTCTGCAGGCTGTATCGGAGAAACAGCCGCTAAATTTAAACGTAGAATACGTGGTATGGTTATGAGCACATCCAAGTCAAAAACGACAGGACACACTAAGAAAAAAATATCGATATCAAAAGCGATAATAATATCGATAGCAAAATCGATAATAATATCGATAGCAAAATCGATAATAGTATCGATAGCAAAATCGATAACAAAATCGGTAAAAATATCGATAACAAAATTGATAAAAATACCGATAACAAAATCGATTACAACATCTATAAAAAAAATTGGTTACAAAATCGATAAAAAATGTCGTTTTTTATATCGATAAGTTCCGAAAATATCGATAGCAAAATCAATAACAATATCGATAACAAAATCGATACAAAATATCGATAACAAAACCGATAAAATATCGATTATTATATCGATAAGTCCGGAGAATTCTGAAAATCTCTAAAATCCCGAAATAGTCCCCAGATTGAGTCTCTGTCTATATCCTTTTCTCTATAATTACCTTTACTTTAATCTTTCTTCCTCTATCTTCATCTTTACTTTTATCGGTATCCTCATAATTTTCTTTATATTCATCTTTGTTTTTACTTTTATGTTTATCATATTCTTCATCTACATATTCCCCTTCACCTTTGCCTTTTATAAATATTGCGCCATTTGTTATTTAAAAGCCGAAATACCTACACACGTATACTTTTTGTCTCCTCTCACTTCCAGCGCATGCATGTGTTTGCAAAACGATGAAGTGATTTTGTATGGAAAATTATTTATGCCCATATATGTGAATCGAATAAACATACTTAGAAGATATCAACCAATACTTTCCATATATCAAATGAAAGGAAAAATCTTAAATTTTTGATTAAAGAAAACAAAAACAAAATTTTTCGAGCGGTTTTCGACCAATACTTTCCATATATCAAATGAAAGGAAAAATCTTAAATTTTTGATTAAAGAAAACAAAAACAAAATTTTTCGAGCGGTTTTCGAGCGTTTTGGAAATAAAAAAAATTCAAATTTTTTCAAAAATTGTTTGCATTAAAATGCTCAATATTTGTTGAACTTCTATAAAATTTGTACACAATAATATTTCTATTGCTCCAAAGAACCTACATATATCCCGAAAATGAAAGTTTAACCTGCAAATCGTAAGTTGCTGGAACACTTTAAAGGCTCAACACTTTTCTTTCAAATCGCTTAATTAGTTTTCGTGCAATAATCGTTTTCGTAAAGCTCTAAAAATTACAACTACAACATTTGAGCATAGCCTCCATATCGAAACGTAAGACGTATTTTACCTCAAAAAAATAACAAAATGAGCAGTGCAGCCGCTTTAAGCTCGCAACCTGAATATTGCGAATTTTAAAAATTTCGCCAATTTTGCCATTATTCAGAGGTATTGACTTATACGATTTTCTTTGCTTGCATTAAAACTGTCGTCTTTTCCCTTCAAAATGCCGCCTCAAGTGGGTAGATATCTTAAAAAGGAGACATTTTAGAGCGTTTACCCTAAAAGCCCAATCTACGTCTGCGACGCGTATACGGAATCGGGATTTTTTTAATTTGAACAAAAAAGTGCCTTTATACTTTGTTGATTTAAATAAATGTGGTTGTCATTTTTATTAATAAAACTATGTTTTATTATTAGTTTATATCACAACTTCAATATCCTTTTTAAAAAATGGGGCAGAACTAAGTATATTTTAGCTCACAGAGTTTTTTAAATTAAATAGGCACCACTCTCTCTTTTTTTAACGTTTGATTTGTTTGTTTACATTTATTATTTAAAAGTGTAAATACAAACGGAAAAACTAAAGAATGGAAAATATCAAATAAAATGCTATCTCGCTATGGTTGGATCAATACCCATGCCTGTCCCAGCACACGAACTTTAAGAGGGATTTATATTACTTGGCCTGAATATGAATATACATTAGGGTGGTCCAAAAATGCATGTGAAAAAGTAAAGTCGGAATTTTTATGCTCTCACCCCTAGGATTGTTCTCTACCGAAAAATATACCCTTATTTTTTTATTTTGAAAACAAAAAATATTTAGAGGTCGCTCAAAGCGCCCAAAGTTTTCCATGTATTTTATATGGGGAAAAAACAACTTTTCGTAGAAATGGTATAAAATAGTTAAAAATCAATATTTTTCAACCAGAAAACTCTGTTTATCTGCAGGAGATTCCCAATAATAATACCCAATGGTTTATTTAACCATTTTTTCATTGCAACTATAAGTTATAGGTCCGCCAAAAACTCCGAAAAATGCAATGGGGCGACCAATAAAAAATCGTTAGTATTAAAAAATGGTTAAATAAACAACGGGGTATTATTATTGAAAGTCTCCTGAAGAGAACCGGAGTTTTCCGATCGAAAAATATTGACTTTCAAGAATTCTATGCTATTTCAATAAAAAAATTTATTTTTCCCATATAAAAATGCATGGAAAATTTTGAGCGCTTTGAGCGACCTCTAAATATTTTTTGATTTCAAAATAAAAAATAGGGGTATACTTTTTTCGATATAGAACAATCCTAGGGAGTGAGAGCATTACAATTCCGACTTTACTTTTTTTTTTTGACCACCCTAATATACATACATAGGTACTCATTTATTAAATCCACGCTATGGTAAGTAGTAAGAACATCTTTAGCTCATAGCTCTGAAAATTGGCCAGCGATACTCTAAGGAGTTCTTTTAATTTAATAGACCACTAACACGTTTGGTGCATTTTAATCGCATATACATATATGTATTTCGCAAGACTGACCGAAACCTCAGAGTTGAAGTCGGAAAAGTTGATAGATATGTACATATGCATGTTTCAATAATGAAAGGATTTGTAAGAAAAACTTTCTCTCACTCTAATTTTATCAATGAGCTTCCCACCCTACTCTTAAAAACAAAAACAGGGATATTTCTTTTCCAAAATTCTTTGAAAGTTTTAAGAACATTTTTAAACTTTTAGTAGTGAAATTTTTACTTTTTAAGTTTTAAGAAATGTTTGTTCTTCATTCGCTGGCTGGCGGGTGAGAATCTTTGGACTACAGAAATTCAATATAGGCTAAAGAGACGTAAATCTCTTAAATGGACAATAACTAGGGAATGGAAAAGTAACAACTTAAGTGCTGTACCTCAAGCTGTGTCCCATTCTAACATATCGCTCTTAGAATATACATGCGTTATACTTACGGTGACCATAAATATGGATTCAAAATGAAGGACAATTTTTCAAAAATATGCCTACATATATTTACGTAGTATAAAAATGTCAAAAGAGTATATATCATTCTAAATTCTTAATACATTTTAATCACGTTTTTTCATCGATATTAATCTTTTTTTACATAAATATTTATGAAAGTATAGTAAAACATATTATAATTACAATAGCTTACACGAAGAGTGAAAATCTTTAAAAGATTATTTTATAGTCAAATTTTGAGGTTTTTGGTACTTTTCGCAGTTATTTGTCAAAAATCGACGTCAGGAATCAACGTAAACGACGAGTTACAAAGTGCCCTTTACAAAAATAAATAATTTGTGCAGATTGCGCTCCATAGCATCTACATATCTAATCCGATTTTCATTATCTTTGACTCAAAATTTACTGTAATGATATGTATTCTTTATCGAATTTTTAAAATAATGAAAAAAATAACCAAATCTGCGTATTTGATTGAAAATCTCACTTTTTTCGACTTTGACGACAAAATGCAAATGGTCGCCTGTAGCACTAATAATTTTCATTGAAGTCGCCACAAGTTACATATATATTTTGGTAAGAGGCATATCAATACCCTCATGAGATATGAAGAAAAGCTACGAAAAGTACCAAAAAACACTTTTTTGAAAAAATGCATCCATTGTCCGATAATTTTAAAATAACGAATATAATGCGGGACAAATGCAGGACACTTGGAAAAAATCAGTACATTTTCAGGTTTTTTAGGTTTGAGAAACTACGCAGGACCGACCTTTGAAAAACAGTACGGTCCTGCAAAAAACAGAACGGATGGTCACCGTAGTTATACTACCAAAATGTTAGCGGCATGCGCATCATATCTGCAGACCTTTATCGAAGTACCTCGCTACATGAATATGATATTATCGCTATAACTGAGACATGGCTGAATGAAAATATATCCTCATCGGAATACTTTGATAGCTATTATCAAGTGTACAAAAATGATCGCTGTACGAAGGCTACTGGCTTCAAAAAAGGCGGCGGTGTACTATTAGCAATTAGAGCGGATCTGTGCTGCAAGGGGGGGGTGAAATAACACAAACGGCAATAACGCAAAATTTGCTTTATTCCACTTTTAAATGGGAAATAATACCAAAACCAACAAAGGTTGGAAATAAAACAAATTTTGCCTTATTTCCCATTGCTTATTTATAGCATTTGTAAAAAAAAAAAAAAGTTTACTGACAGAAGGAAAAAGAACTTTGTTTATTCCAAAAATACAATTAAACCAAGGCACATTGAACAGGTAATATCAGTATAGCAGCTGATTTGATTTTTTTTCAAATTATTTGTTCTCGAAAATATCAAA